TTAAAGGCGTGATGGATATATCAACTATGTACCGCTATCTGTGGATGTTTCCTTTCTTTTATTCAATCTACAGTGAAAAGATACCAGGTTTGTACTTTATATGCTTCAGTTCTGTATGATTCAATTGTCATTATAGTTTTACAGCTAGTTTTGTTATGGCATAACTTTACTCAAGGGCTTAAATTCAAGTTCAATACAATGAATATGCAACGAAGAATAAATACTTCCAAAAACTGTTGATCTTATAAAAACGAATATGTTGATATATAATTATGCTAGACCATGTAACATTACTTAATGGCAGTAGCGAATTTAAGAAATCTTCAAACGAATTAATTAAATTAAAAAAAAAAAAAGCAAGAGGTCCAAGGTTCTTAATGGTCACTTGAATATAATTCAAAACTATAAAGGATCCATAGAATTTTATATATATATATATATATATATATATAGAAAGCACAAAGAAATTCACTTTTATAAGGATACCCACTTCCGCCCCAGCCCGGGGTTGAACTCTCGACCAACGGAATCTGTCTCCTAGCAGTACAGGAACAGCGCGCTAGACCGCTCGGCTATCTAGGCAAGTCAAAAAACTTGCTTTCGATGCCGATGGAATTCTCGCGGCGCTGCCCTACACTACACGGTCATTGAGAATGCAAGTGAGATACAGTTATTTGGACATTAGTTTTATTAGAGGATTGTTACCAATACACGTTGTAATGAATTTAATTTTTACTTATAAAGCACATTTTACAACAACTCTTAAACTAACATAACTGCCCTAAGTGAAGAATATATATATATATATATATATATATATATATATATATATATATATATATATATATATATATATATATATATATATATACATACATATATATATATAGATAGATAGATAGATAGATAGATAGATAGATATATGTAGATATATATATAGATATATATAGATATATAAAACCCACCTTTTTGCAGTCTCTTGCCAACTCTGATTTCCAGGAATATACCTGGCAATAAGTCGTCAATTGTCCAACAGAACAAGTAGTGTACACATACTGATTACACCTGGCCCTTTTGCTTATGTCAGTGTTTAAACAAAACATTCATTTTTATTTTATTTCTATGTACATATAACATTTTTTCTTGTATTTTCATTCCACCAAATAACCTATTGAATAAATTATGTACAAGGATTTCTTTATTTAACACAATTTAGCAAAGGGGACTAAATCTCATTTGCTTCACTTATTACAATTTGAACTCTGTTTACCTCCTAGATACCAAAAAACAGATAAAAGGCACATTTAATTATATTATACATTTACATTTATATTATTGAATTTAGTCTGTTTGCTTAATACACAGAGGCAGATAAGCAGATTTTTAAAGTATTAATGCATTTTTGCTATATGAACAATAAAGCCCCGACCAAACACCAGAACCCTTGACCCAGCTAGGGGCCGTGAAATTCATAATTTTGGAAGAGGCGCCCTTGCTCATCAAAACTTTGTATTTTGTTTTTTTGCTTAATACAAGGGCCAGATGATTTTCAAAGCATTAATTAATTTTCAGTATATAATAAATACGTCCCCAACGGAACCCCTGACCAGGGGGGCATCTTTTACAATTTTGAGAGAGGCACCCTTCCTCATCACATCTATGTACTTAGTTAATCGGCTTAATACAGGGTGTCCCAGAATATATGATACCATTTCAAGATTCTGTAAAACCTTATGTAATGAATATTGAATTACAACAAATGCATTATAAACATTGTATATACTGTCCAATTTTATTCACATAATTTGAATTGACGTTCTATCTGAATTTAAATGACGTTCTATCTGTGTAATGATAATGTCTAGACATTGCACAAAATTCCTTAACTTGAGACAACAGTGCCTGTCTCGGTAGTAACTTCTGGATTTTCATCATTTTTGCAAAAGTTGATGTAAATTTGTTACGTTGCAATTTTATAAGTGTGAGAATTTTTGGGAATATTTTGTTGCTAAAAATTGTACTTATTCAAATATTTTTAGAGATATATATCAAGGAAATTGGCCAAGCGATGTGTTTGTGGCAGGTACGTATTTCAAATGGTATCATATATTCTGGGACACCCTGTACCAAGGTGCAGAGGAGAACATTTTCAAAGAATTAATACATTTTCACTATATAATCTTTAGAGCCTCGCCCTTACACCAGAATCCCTGACCCTGGGGACATGAAATGAACAAATTTGGAAGAGGCACTCCTCCTCATCATAACTATGCATTTAGTTTGTTTGCTTTGTGGTGAACCCTGGCATTCTGCTAGGTCACGTCGCTAACAGGAAATAAAATACGACCATCATCTTTTATAATATTTTTAAGGGGGGGGGGGGTTAACAATACGATCGTTGATAAATAGAACAACTTAGGTTTCGCCTTAATAATTATTTGCTCTTTGAGCACAATGTTTTCTATTTCCTTCATATGCAAATTGCTATACTATTGAACGCAATATGCATTGTAATTTCATTGTGAGTACTCTGAAGTTGACATTAAAAAGATGCTCGAGTTTCTGATTGACAATATCTAATGTGGTTTTTAGAGACCAGGTCTTCCAACAATCTATTGGAAATCCTATGGGTACCAATTGCGCCCCGTTATTAGCGACCAATTTTTGTATTCATATGAAGCAGAATTTGTTCAAAATCTTTTACGTGAAAGAAGAAAACACTTGCTGTGGCCTTCAACTCGACATTTAGATGTATCGACGACGTATTGTCAATTAACAATGGCTATTTCCATTCTTATGTCGACACGATATATTCCGGTGAGCTTGAGATAAAAGATACCACAGAGTTTCTATAAGAAAAAGACGTTAATGGTAATCTAACAACAAAGCTTTATGATAAACGTGATGACTAACTTTTCTATCGTCAACTTCCCAGCAATATACCCTTATCACCTGCATACGGGGTTTATATCTCTCAGTTGATTCGTTACGCCAGAGCATGCTCCAAGTATGAACAATTTCTAAAACGAGGTAAGTTATTGACAAAGAAGTTGATGAAACAAGAATATCAGCAGTCTCGTTTAAAGCCATCATTTCGTAAGTTCGGTGGTCGATACAGTACAATGACCTTGTCAGTAAATGCAATCTTTCATTAAGTCAAATGCTGACTTTTTTCATACTAATTGTTAGGCCATTATTTACACACTGAATTGTCGGCGAATTTTTCCGTTATTTCCCGATCATGACAAGGAGCACACGGCGGGTGTGACCGGTTGGCAGGGGATGCTCACTCCTCCATGGCACCTGATCGCACCTCTGATGTCTTAGAGGTCCGTGTTTGCTCTGCTCCTATTTTATAATGTTTAATGGACTTTTGAGCTCGAATACTGTTCGTTATCTGCACATATTTCAACCAAATAAAATTTTTTATTAAGTTTATTATTAATTTCAATTAAAGACAAGATATATACATGCAAAAAGAAATGTTTTTAAAAGCAATATCTATATTTTTGTGAAACATACTTGATCCAGCACCTCAATGGCAAAGGGACCTTTAAGCCATTGAGATTCAAAATTTCTTTTCCTATCTATTGGATGAATGAAAAACCAAGTTAACCAAATCAAAGTGCAAAATCCTAACTGTTTAATGTAAATTGTCCAAAATATAAAAATGCAACACATTTGGAAAAAGAGAGAGAAAGATAACTTATCACTAATGTAACTAATTTCTTTGCAGTTGTTAAACCTTATGAGAAGGGCCAATTCATAAGATTGGACTGCACTGTTAATACTGTTTCAGAGGTAAGAAAAAGAAAGTTAAAAAGGAAGTTAAGCTCAGACATATCGCATTTAGTTACTGACATTATGTTATTGTTCCTCGTGTAACTTACATTCTTTATGTAAGAGTACTTTATTACAGTATCTCTCTCACTTTAATATCCATTATTGCAAAATATTAATAAATATGATAATTATCTTTCATCCCAACTTGCTGAAAAGTGGATAAAATAAATTTTATGCAACATTTTATTTTGGCACAAGACGCACTTAGTAGCGATTAATATTATCATATACATATATTAACATTGCATTTCGATTTAAAAGCATATATTTTCTCAACAACATATTAAATGGTAGTTTTAATCCACCAATTGCAAATGGATGGAATAAATTCACCCTTTGTTAAAGAAAGAGGGGTTACAAGGCGAGGACAATCCCCCGCTCTGAGACGATGTATTTCTTAATTTTCAAAGTTATAGTTTCAAAGTAAAATTCTGTTGTCCCCCGCTTTCACTGAAAGTTGGAGATATTAATTTCGGTCTGTCTGTCCGTCCATCTGTATTTCTGTCTGTCTGTAACATTTTCGAGAACCCTTTGAACTTTCTCAATGAAATTTTACATAGCAAGTCCCTATGGCCTAAAGAAGAACCCTATTGAATTTTGAGGTCCAAAGGTCAAGGTCATAAACTCATAAATTCTGTGTTTTAACACTTTGGTTTCCGGGCGATATCTCAAGAAGCTTTTGAGCTTTTGCAATGAAATTTTATACCATAACTCCCTATGGCCTCTCTCGCCCCTCTCAAAGTGTCACGCCCCGTTTTTTTAAAATTATATTAAAAGTCGCTTGGTACTATTTTAGCACAGGAAAATGTGGATAGTTATTACATATAATACAGGTTGTCGGCGGACTTTATATTCTAATTACATCTATTAGAACTGTTTAGTAAAGGCTAAATTAGACATCGTGTATTGTGTAAAACTTTGACAATATCGAATGTGAATATAAACATTATATGTGACCTAATGTTTGCATTTAATTTGATGTATAATAAAGTGCCTCTTAGGTCTAGAGGTATGATTCTTGCTTAGCAAGTGAGAGGTCCCGGGTTCAAATTCCCAGACGATCCCCCTTTTTTTGAAATGTTTTTTTATTTACTAAATGGTAATATTCAACATATGAAATGAAAAAGTTATGACATCTGGCGTGTACAAACTTCTTATAAAATCATTATTACAGTGTGATAAATATTCAGTCTAATTAAAATTAGACTTGCATTTTCGCTCCTCTACTATACACTTCAATACACTTGTATTGAAGCGTATAGTAGAGGAGCGAAAATACAAGTCTAATTTTAATTAGATTGGATAAATATTCTATATAAAAAGAATATTCTATACACATATTAAAGAATAAGCAATCAAATCTTTATATCCATATTGGCATTTTTTATTTGCTTCAATATACATGTATACAATGTACGTTTAATAATTCTGCAAATCCGGGGGGGGGGGGGGACCCCCATAACTGCGCATGCTCTTCTTTTTTCCCTAAGCGGGGACACAAATTCTCTGAATTAGCTTGTCAGTAATGTCATCTTCAACACATTTGATTCATGTATTTTATTGAATGACTTATTGTTTAAAAATTGCTTTTTAAAGTGGACAGTTAAATAGATTGAGAGGAAAATGGCTTTATTGGAGCCATAAAAAATAATTTCTGAATATGAATGGGTTAAGTCTCCATTCTACATTAACGCTTAAATGACGGCTAAGAAAAAGTAAAAAATACTTTATGTTTTAAAAAAATTGAATCTGATTGAATCTGAATCCATTTAAGATGAAAATCGAACATTTCTGGGGGAAAAAATATATGTTTCAACAAATTTGTTTATTTAAAGCACACTGACACACATCAATGACAAGACTTAGCATAGTGGTTAACGCGTTCAGTCTTAACCGTGAGCTTTGGAGAGGGATCGAATCGTGTGAAACTCCTTTTTTATCTTTTCGCATACCTTAAAAACATAAGAGAAAAATAAATTATGTATATTAAATAAATAAAGGAAACAAATGTTTAAAAGATGAAATTGGCAATACAGTTTTTGAAAAATATAACTCTTCATAAACTTTTAAAATTGAGAAATACCTTTTCTCAGAGCGGAGGATTGTCCTCGCCTTATACGCTTCCATTCTTTGAAATGATCCCGTGAATGAACCGTTTTGTTAAATCATGTATACCACAAATAAATATATATAATTATAACAACAAGTTGATTTGAAGAGCCGTATCACGTCTTGTTAACAGATCTAACTGGACGCTTCGCGTCTCATTTGATATGATGACCCGCGCTTGTCAACTCGACATGATACAGCTATTCGGATTACGTTACTGTTATAATGATAAATTTATTATATACCCTATATAATTAGCAAAATATAATAAAAGAAAACTGTTGGGAAAATTATCCAGCCTTTATGCATTAAACAGAAACATTTTCAAGGGACTCTTTGATACGTAAGAAAAAAAGTCATGCATCCTGTGAACTCCGTCATCAGCTTCAGAGAGGGGTGATGTGGATTCAGAAAACCAGAGTGTGGTGATCTGGAAAATCGGATCAACACTCTGCAAAATTACCAAAAAAAAAAAAAAAAAAAAAAAGAGAAAAATTGATGTGTATATAATACAGAGAATATGAACAGGAACAGTGTTTTATCAGAGGTACTTTTTTTAAAAAGGTTTGATCTAAAAAAAAGGTTTGCTATTTGTCCATAACAGCCTTACAGGATCCGTGTCAGCCCTGGAAGCTGATACGTCTCTCATATACTTTATCATATACTTAGTATTAAGTACACCGATTCCGCACTGTGTGATATGGGTGACGTCACAATACCCCATATTAAGGATCGGTCCGAATATCCATATCACATATCGGACCGGCGTGCAAAAATTTATATCAAACTGGAAGTAATGTTTGTATATAGTTTAAAAGTTAACTTGATTTAATTTAAATATACATGTAATATGATACATTTATTGAATGAGTTCGAGGGCAACATGCGTTTTGTCGGACCCAAGAACCAAACTGTTTGCCTGAGGCCGTTAGGCTGAAGGCAAACAGTTTGGTTTGAGGGGTCGACAAAACGCATTTTGCCCGAAAAAGCAGTCAATAAATGTTTTGTTATATAATACCTTTTATTTATTTATTTATTTTTTTGACATACGTGTATGTCGAGGGCGTTGCCCTTGGGGAATATGATTTTTCATGAGCGAAAAAATCGTCATGTCTCCCTCATTATCATGCAATAAATGTATAATATTTATGAGTAAGTGAAAATAAAGATAATATCGAAGTTTCAGAAATTTCACACAAAAAAACTTTTCGAACATAGATCCTTCTTACAAGACCAGTTTATTCAGAAATAGCCAAGTGATATAAACAGTTTTTCTAAAGGTTAGTTTTACAGAATTTTTAAATAAAACATATTAAAATTTTACCTCCATAACCAAAAAAAGTATTGATGAAATGCGTTTATCAAATCATCTCTACCTGTAGAAACAGGGAGATGGTGCCGTACCCTACTAAAAGTAGGATATTTTTTCTTTGTAACAACGGGAAAATATGCGATTAATATCTCTACATTTTAAAATGTTCACCTTTTTCACAAAAAAGAAAAAAAAAATATTTAGATATAAGATACTGTAGACTTAATGTTGTAAAGTTCTACTTTAGTTCAATTTCAAATGTTAAACCTTTGAGAAAACTTAAGAAAATACTGTGCATTTATTTCAAATATCTTTGAGAATGTCTATTCCCGATAATTTTCTCTTGATGTTCTCCCATTGATTTCATATAAAAAAAATCAGATGAAACTTTTTGCAATGTCAACACTTCAATAGAGGTAGTATAATAAATTTTAATTTCATTAAGCATTATGTAAATTCCTATGCAATACTATGAAACAATGTCAATATGTGTATGATATATATGAAGATATATATGAACATGAAATCATTTGGACACGTGGAAAGTATTACGCTGGTGAATATTACAGGGCATAAAAAGGCAGATCATATCACTGATATACATAGAATGCAATCAATTCATCATGCCCCATTTTTTTAATTTTGCCCAATGTTAAACTGGAAAATTGTTTGATGGTGCTGATATAAAACTGTCAAATAGGACATTATTTTTAGGAGTTGACAAATCATGACATTATAATTTTAAAATAATCTACAAATTAAGGTTTACAAGAATACAATAAAAGAATTACAGAGTTGGAATTTTGAACGACTTGGGCATTATGTCAGATATTGTTTATCTTAACAATGTTTGTAATGATTTTAGGCAATTTGGCAGAAAGAAGGACAAACGGTAACATTTGGTAATATGGTATTTAAAGACAAGGAAAGGATCTCAGTCGGCGGTTATGGAAGAAAAGACTATAGACTGGAGATAACAGGGATGCTTGGGGAAGACAAAGGAAATTACACTTGCAAAGACAGAAGAACAAACGACATATATGAGCGTTATACCTTAAGGCTCAGGGGTAAATATTTATTACATTTCAACAGTGAGGTTACACTGCTGTAATTTAATCGTCAAGGAAGCTCTGAACACTGCACACTGTTCTAATTCCATGGTAGTTTTATACATGGAGAGTGATCTTCCTTTTAATGTAAAGATGGAATAGATGGAAATCTCAAATTGAAATAGAATAAAGAATCCTTAACATAAGAATAGACCGAGATAAAGTATTTGAATTCATTATTCATGTATTTTCTTTATGTCAATAGACAACAGCGATCTCTGTTCATCACTGATACTTCATGGTCTTTAAACATTTTTCCTGGAGAAATATAGCAGGTATCCAATGTTGAAAACGAATTTATATTTAGATAAACTCAATATGCATATTTTTTCTCGAATTTAAAAAAAAAATGACTAGGTTAAGAGCTTCCTTAAATAAGATTATTTTCAAAGATGTGATTTTCACAGTTTGAGTCTTTAAACATTTTTCCTGGAGAAATATAGCAGGTATCCAATGTTGAAAACGAATTAGATAAACTCAATATGCATATTTTTTCTCGAATTTAAAAAAAAAATGACTAGGTTAAGAGCTTCCTTAAATAAGATTATTTTCAAAGATGTGATTTTCACAGTTTGAAAATAACAACTGAAACTACACGTGTATTTCAAATGCACAGAATCCAATTGTAAAAAGATTGTTATATTCTAAATCTTAGTTACCACAATAATTATGCAATCCTATTGTTTCTTTTGAAAATATTTTATTGACAGTCAGAAGGATCAGAAACAAGTTCTATCAACTTACTAGTCCAAAACTTTTGTGTCAAAAACTTTTTTTTTTTTAAATTTCAAAGAGTGACATATCAAGTTACATAATAATGAAATTTTTCTCACATTCTCTCACACATTCACACTTCCCCTCTCTAGTTTTAAACAAGAATGAAATATCAAATAAAAAATTTATCAATGAGATATAATATTCCATTTGAAAAATAGTTACTGTTGGTGTTTTAATAAATGTTTACAACTCAAAAATATTAATCCATGGTGACCATAAGTTTTCAAAATTGCTCATTGCAAATTTTTGAATTGATATGCATTTTTCTACTTTGTACATAAGAGTTAAATGATGAAGCAGCCCAGTAATCATAGGTATTTTGTTTTGCTTAAAGCAGGAAAATATATATTGCTTTGTATATAGAATAATAAAATTTATCACCCTATTATGATAAGATAATGGAGTTTCACCAAAAATAATATTACATGTGTTAAACCCAATTCTTTTGGAAGTTTTTGTAAAAATGTGCATACTAAGATTACGCAACAATGAAGAGATTTTTGTGCAATTCAAAAATATATGTTGCATTGTTTCTATCTCCTGTTTACAAAAAGTACAGTGGTCATCAGATAAAATATTTATTTTCTTCAAATAATATCTCACTGGAAGGATTCTATGAAGGATTCTATACTGTAACCATTGAACAGAAGTTTCCATATTTGTTCTAAAACAAACCTTAAAAACATCTTGAACACAAATATCAGATTCTAAAAACACTGATAGCTCCTGGTTCCATCGAAATATAGACGTAGGAGTGACATTGTTACTATTCAAATATCTGTAAATTATTTTAGTGCACTTTTCATATACAATAATATTTTCAAAATAAAAAGGAATAAAAGGGGTACATTCCCTCTTAACAGATGATTTATCTATAGACATTGTTTTTAAATACCTGGATATAGCACATAAAATACTGTTGTATTGCATAATGCAAACTTTAGACAAATGAAATCTATTTTCAAAGTCAATGAGAGTTAAAAAATTCCCTTCATCGTTTAAGAAATCACAAACACTTTTAACACCATTTTTATACCAGGTCTTTACAAAAATTATTTTGTTTCCCATTTTTATATTGGGATTGTACCAGACAGGTAAATTTAGATGTTACTTAGTTTTCATATATGAATTGTTATTGAGCGTCTTCATGAAACATAGCCATGAATTAAACACATCTTTCCAAAAATCATTATTTTTTAGAATAAGACAAGACCACCAAAATCAAAAATTTTACACAATACGTCTTTACCATTTATTGCCAAAAAAATATCAAACCATGGTTGATTACTTTTTGTTAACATTTTAATCCAAGAGCATTTAAGAGATATGAATAAGCTATGTATATCCAACATTTTTAATCCTCCTTGTAAAAAATCTTGAGTAATAATTTTTCTTTTTGCTTTATCACATTTTGATTTCCATATAAACTCAAAGATTTCTCTGTTCAATAATGATAAAATTTCTTTACTTGGATTAGGTAAAGATATAAAATGATGGTTAAGTTTTGGTAAGATTAATGTTTTCAGAACTGTGATTCTTCCAATAGGAGTAAGAATCCTTCTTTTCCATTGTTGAATTAATGCTTTGATTTTTGGTATTTGAACATTGTAGTTTATATCAATAATTTTATCTAGTTCTACTGAAAAATTAATTCCAAGTAAATTAAAAGTTGTGCAACCCCATTCAAGTTTCCAACGAGAATGATGAAAAACTTGATTTGAGAATTTTTTTGAACCTATCCAAACAATTTTAGTTTTTGAGCTGTTTATTTTAAGTCCTGTAAACTTTGAAAAAAGATCAATTGTATCTAATGCTGCAAAAAGTGATTCAGGTGAACCATCAAGGGCAAGCCAGGTATCATCCGCATATTGGGATATTTTATGTTCTGTCTTGTTAATTACAATTCCTTTAATGCTTTGATTTTGTTTAATCATAATTGCAAGAATTTCTGCACAAAGAAGAAATAGATATGGTAACACGGGATCTCCCTGACGACATCCTCTTTGGATATTAAACTGTTCAGATAAAAATCCACATTGAAGTACAGACGCACAAAATTTTGTATTTAGAATTTTTACCCATTCAATAATGTTTTTACCAAACCCAAAAAATTTTAATACTTTATACACAAAGGTCCAGGATATTGAATCAAAAGTCTTTTCAAAGTCTCTAAGTACAAGTAATCCAGGTATATTTCTAGATTCAGTATAAGCCATAAGATCTTAAAGAAATCTGGTATTTTCACCTATATATCTTCCTTTTAAAAATCCAAGCTGAGCATTTGATATAATATTGTCCAAGGTGGATCTTATTCTATAACTAATACAACCTGATAAAAGTTTATAAAATACATTTAAAAGTGTAATAGGCCGCCAATTTTTCAAAATTCTCTTGGCTTATCACCTTTTGGTAAACATGTAATTATTCCTAGTCTTTGAGAAATAGGAAATTCTTTTTTCTGAAATATTTCATTTATGGCAAGTACTATGAAATGTTTCAAATCTGACCAAAAAAATTTAAAAAATTCAGCAGTGAAACCATCACTTCCTGGTGTCTTATTGTTTTTCATGTTTCTTAACACCTGTAAGACTTCATTTTCTAATATATTTCCATCAAGTGTATTGGCAACATGATTTTCAAGTTTTGGAACCTCACTAACTGTAATAATATCTGCAAGATCTATATCAAGAAGTTCTGCATCTTCCGCATCTTCAGAAGTATAAAGAGATTTGTAATACATCCTGATTCTATTTAAAATTTCTGACTGATTGTAAATTATTTCATTTTCCTCTGTTTTGACCTTTTTGATAATCTTATTCAAATAATTACAGGATTCCAGTTTGCAAAAATGTTGAGATGGTTTTTCTCCATCTTCAACCCATCTGGCTCGAGACCTTATAACATGACCTTGTAACTTTTCTTTTCTCAAATTCTCAAGACTTATTTTTTTCTCCTCTATTAACTGTAGAATCAATATATTCTCTGCCTCTAATTGTTCTATTTGTGCAATTAACAAGGCTTCTTCTTTATTTTTTTTAATTTTTTTTCTATATGACGAATATGAGATAGTTATTCCTCTAATCTCCATTAGAAGGAGTTCGAAAAATGTACTGTAATTCATATCTTCTATAAGCACATTATTCTTTTCATATTGGTTTCTAAAGACTCTATTGTTTCTTTAACCTCGCCAACGTATGTTTTGTCTGTAAGTAAGGAGTTGTTTAATTTCCAGACACCTTTCCCTTTCCTAAATGTATTAAATTTCATATCAAGAACCACCGAAGAGTGGTCTGATCTGTACCCTGGTTCAATTGCTAAATTTTCAACCAAATTACACATATTTTCAGAAATTAAAATATAATCTAATCGTCCTTGTTTTACTGGATTTTTCTTTCGCCACGTAAACATTTTTAAATTTGGATTCAAAATCCTGAAGTAGTCAATTATTTGTAGATCATTCATAATTTGTAAAAGGTTTTCCCTCGCCTTTGGATTGTTAATGTTACAATAATTTTCTGTGTCTATTGAAGGGTCAAGAGCCAGATTAAAATCACCGCATAATATAAAATAATCATTGTCAAATTCTAAAAATGTCTTTCTTACCAACTCATAAAACTCTGGATTATCAGTGTTTGGTCCATAGATATTAATTAAAGTAACTTTATTATCCTCGATTGTCATATCGAGAGCTAATAGATTACCATTATCGAAAACTTAAGGAGGGATTCTTCTCATATTTCTTGTATTTAAAAATTAATAAAAATTTCATAGATTCAAGAAGACATTATCACTAAGTGATGGTATCAGTTAGATTGAATTTGACCGTTTTATTTTAGAAGCAAGGTCAGGTCAAGGTCATTATCTTTTTCCTTGACATTTAGAGTAAAAAATTACAGTTGCTAATCATGTGATGCCTACTTCTAGTTTAAAAAGTTAAAAAATGTTTTTCATTTTACTCAAAAAAATGTTACCATATCGGGTCTATCAGATGAATCTACTAAATTAATTGGCATAGTTTAACTAAAA